TCTTCAACTCCGTAGTTTAGCAACACAGAGTAGGAAGGAAAGCATAATAGCGAAGGTGCTATGCTTGGTCAAATATGTAAATGAAGATTTGGCATGTTGACTCGCTGTCAGCCCTCTCCCCTCACCAGACTCTCAGGGAAAGGTTCCTATACGGTCAGCCACAAAGCATAATCTTCGCTGCAAATGGCAGAGGCTGCCCCTGATGCTCGTCAAGAGGCCGCCTCTGTGGCAATACGCAGCGTGGGCCAAAATCGCATACCACATACACTCTTGCAAGGACTTATCAAAATAGATGGCTTGTCAGGGAATACAAACTGTAGGTGCATCATGGTCCCAAAGGATCAGTTGAAACACGGATAACTTCTCTTCATCATTGCGCCTTCACACCTGATGGCAACAAAAAGAACAGTAAATCCACCTGTGCAAATCAGTTCAGGTCTCCTGTGTTCTCCTCACTGAAAAGAATCAGCAGAACGACAGTAAGTTCTGATCATCAGCAGTGGTTCTTCAACTTCGTAGTTTAGCAACACAGAGTAGGAAGGAAAGCATAATAGCGAGGCTGCTATGCATGGTCAAATATGTAAATGAAGATTTGTATGGTGAGACGTGGTCAGAACCTCCCACTAGATTCACAGGAAGAGCTTCCTATATGACCATCCACCACACAAAAGCAATGCTGCGTATGGCCGAGGCTGTACCTGTTACTCGCTGAAAGGTCATCGCACCGTTACTGCTGCTAAAATTCCTGATTACACTATCAATGAGAGACCGCACCAAGCCTCATAGAGAGTCGTATGACGAGTAACAGATAATGAACAGTAGATCATGAATAGTAGTTGTGCCCTCCATGAGACCGACTCAAAACATCACCCCCGGCGTCCCAATACAATCCGACATATAGTGACTGCCAGATGATGCAAAATGTGAAGGCAACAGTAGACGAACTCGTCGACTCTTCAGTTCAGGTCTCCGTGTGGTCCTCTCCCTAAAAATCAGGAGGCTCGGTATCACCAGCAGCCTGTTCACAATGCCACTAGAAGGCTATGAATGGACAAGGCCTATTGAATCCAGATGAGACACTTCAGACGGCGAGCCATCTCAGAAGACGATGAAGCACCCGGTCAGGCAAAGCAAATCGGCAGCCTTTGCACCCCCCAACCCCGCAAGAAAACAAAGGCAAAACCTATAAAACACGGGCCACCCAGGTGCCCTGTCAGCCCCAAGTATCCTCTAGTCGTGCCTGAAACTACAGGGTACAATTCTCGACCCTACTAGTCATCTGCGACCCACCTACCCATCAATCCCTCATATAAGCTGCAATCCAACCCCCCCTCCCCCCCCTTGACTAAAACAATCAAGGATCTGCGCGAAAGAAAGTTTGTTTGAGACTGCTTTTGTCTACAAAACTTGCAGTTCTGAATTGTTCAAATCCTTGGGTAGGATGACAGCCCATGGCACCTTTCCTTCTGGAAAAGTGGGGCGTATTCAGGGTGAGAAGATGTGGATATACACAATCCACGTTTACGCTATTTGCAGACCCGCTTTCTTCCTCAATTCGGCATCAATTAGCTTCTGCTTCTTTTCTTGTGCGTGCTGTGATTTGATACCCAACTGGCCCCCTCCCCAACGTCTCCTCAGGTCGGCATTGTCGTTGAACATCGCGCGGTAGTTCTTGCACTGCGCCTCGAGCTCAGCTTGGTCCTGCAGTTCGAACAATCGCCGAAACTCTAACATAAAGCCTGGTACTGCAACGATTCCACACCAGCGAGGTGCATGCAGGGTATAACAATGCGGCTTCAGAGAACTTTGAAGACAATGGTATATTCGTCACTGTTGCCAGTTGACAGCTCGTGGAGAGATGAAATCATCCGACGCCGCAGTGCTAAGCGAGGCATGCAATTTATTATTCACTACTACCGAGCATAGTACAACGCGGACAACTGGACACCCGTGACGACACAGACACTCCACCCATACGACATAACCCAAGCGTCAGATGAAGACGATTATTTGGATGCCGACATGTCATTGCAGGGAACTCCCCGCTAGTCAACGAAAATGTTCATCCTGGATATGTCCACTGAAAAATCAGCCACTTACAGTTATTTACACATTAAATAAGGTCTATAAGCACCTAAGCACCTGGATTAGGCATATAGGACGGTGGCCCAAGAGAAGCAGAAACGCCTAGTTCCTTCAGTTGAAGACGATTATAATTTGTAGACCTCATTGCGACGCAGTCGCTGGCCAACAAATCCGGTTTTCATCAATGAACTGGCGTTAAGGCGGCATGCGTATGTGCGTTCACCAGTAGGTGGCGAGCCACGAACCAATGAAACGACAAATGAACGAGACACTGGCAGCTTACCTCCTTTCTGACTGAATCGACAGCAATGACGGCGCAGGCTTTCTTGTGGACGAGCTGTCCAAGTCGCGCCTTCCCCTTCACAATGCAGTAAGGGACGTCCTTCTTTCTGCAAAGGGCCGGGAGCCAGCAAACGAGGTCGATGGGCACCACATCATGAGCAATGACAACAAGCTTGGCCTTCTTGATCTCTATTAGGTCGGTAACATGGTTTAGGCCGAATTTCAGCATGACAGGCTTCTTGCTTGTTGCCTGAGCACCAGCAGACTGTTTCTCTCCCTCCTCAATCAACCGAGCCTTCTTCTCTCCACGGGTCTCCGGCTTGTACTTGGCAAGAAGGCGCATTAGTTGGCCGGTCTGCAAGAAACAAAAACACGAAAAAACAAATACGCATGCTAAAGTCGCCTCTAAACACAATTGGAGCAGGGACAAGCAGACATTACCTGGTTCTTATCCAGCGTGTGGCTGAACTGATTGATGGCGGGAGGGACCTTCAGTCGCTGCATCAAAACCCGTCTCTGGCGCTGGAGAAGCACGTACTTGGGCCACTTGACAAACCTGAGCACAAGAGCGCAGAGAAACCCAAAGGACGAAGCCCAGTGGATACTCAATGCAAGAACTGTGTCCGCGCCGAAGGCAACTCGTTAGACCAGAGAGCTTACCTTGTTAGTTCCCTCCGAGGCTGAATATTGCAGCCAATACGGAAGTTCCGCGGGGTCTTCTGAAAGATCAGTGATTTCGTCGTCTTCTTCACATTCTTCCCCGCTGGATTTGACGGGAGCTTCTTCTTAGAAGCCCCCGCAGCAGCCTTCTTTGCAGCCGGCGCCTGCATAAACCACTGACACAGGAAATCCTAAATCGAGGACGACAGGCAGGAAACGAGTGAGCAAGCCCTGGTAGACTGGACGCTGCCGCACACCAAACTCCCCGGACGGCCTATGGCTCGGCATGCTCGCTTATGCACGGCAAGTGCCGAGGAATCTGCAGTTCTAGTGCACAACGTGCACAAAAAATAGGGAGATGCAGTAGAAAGAATACAAGCGCAGACTGATACATCTAAAGGCGACGCCACAGGTAGAGGCTACAAAGCAGCGCCTCGAGGGGCTTCCCCATCATCTAGAGGCCATTGTTCTCGCATGAACCGTGTGGAACCTTAATTATGAAGCGAAGTATGAAGCCTACAGAACGTGCTGTTACACAGACAGTGGGGAGAGGAGAATGTACAAACTGCCCGGTGCTGCAATACTAGAATTGTGGGGTGGTCGCCTGGTGCAGTTGACCTCCCGAAGACCCACCATTGTGCCCGCGTTGTGAGAGGCTGCCTTTAAATAAGGGGAAAAAGAAAACCGTTCTTCTTTGCACAAACTTCACCGGTTCCCCCGAATTCCACCAAATCTATTCGAACAGGCAAGCTCATGGCACCTGCTGCCGTAGCGAACCTGCGGCTTCGTCCTCTGGCCCCAACCTCGCATGCAGCCGCCATGGCACTCCCCACACCGCCTCATCTCGCTATTTTGACAATGTCTTAAAGTGAAAACGCAAGTTCCAATAAAAGATGTATTAGTGTCTCGGTATATGTGGTGTGAGGTGATTTTACTCGAGTGGCCCACTGCACGTGAAGGCGCAGTGTGGCTTCTCAACCGGAGCAACCGGTCTAGTTGTTCTGAGGATACGCAGGAGATGTCCCTCAGTAGAGGCTAGAGAGTAAACGCGTATCATTTAAACGACCGAGAGCCTTTCATCATCTCTTATCACTCTGCTTGCGGTTGCAAAATACCTCAGGGGTTGAAGGGGGTGATGCCTTTGCCAAGCGAATAAGAGCATTTGTACTTGGGCTTGGGCTAGGTTCTGAGTGCTAAAAACGTTTTTAAGGGGTGGGTGCAGTGTTTGTTTGTGCAACAGAGTGGGCGTGTTTATGCGCTCATGTGAAGTAGCCTTACAGGGGGCGTTCCCGCATGGTGTGCTGCATCCCATGACAGGAAACCTCTGCACAAGAGCACCAGACCCTTTTGTACAGGTTTACCCACGCTCTCCTGAGACCTGGGGCAGGTTAGCGGATTTTGAGAAGTCTTTTTTCAAGCTTCAGGACTCAATTCCAGCTCCTGCGGGATCGACGACTTGTTGACGCATGGTAGCCCCGCACGGTTCTGAGGGACAGGCGGGAGCTGCTACGCACGCCCGCCAGAGCATAGCACCATTGTTTATAGCACATGTTAGTAGTGAAATCACTTTGTCCAGAGAAGGCAGAAAGATTTTAGATTGCTTCCACAATATCGCCGTGTCCCCCCTCGGCAAATGAAGATTGACCTGACTCTGCGCTCAGGCGGGGAGGTGACCAACCGCTGGGCGCCTCATTACATTGCAGCAAACGCAGTGTGTGCAGCCTATCCAGTCGAAAATGATCTGACTGCCAAAAATATATATGAAGAATGCCCTTGCTTTTCTTGACCTCCCAGAAGTGCGGGCGATGGGAAGTGGGAAGTCTGGTGGTGGATGGTGTTTGAGGGTCAGTGAAGTAATCGCGTAGTCACATGGAGGTGTACTTTCGTCGTTAAAATTCATGCACCGAAGACCTACAGTGTCTACCAGCATCTTCTTTATTAAGAGTTGCATTCCAATGGCAGCAATATCCACGCATGTTTGCACTTTTCCAAAGCACATGCAGAGCACGGGAACTGCCCGAAATTCTATGTGTTGTAGGTTTAGCCTTGGGTGGACAATGCGCTTACGGGATCGAGCCGTTTTTTGAGGCTTTTAAACAGTGCTGACTTGAGAAGGGAGGGGCGCGATGGCGAAGGAAGCGAGACAGACCGTGGCTGGCCAATGGGGACATCGCGGCGAATTCCACTGTCTTATTCGCTAGTGGGCGACAGAGCGGAACACGCCGATATTATGGTCAACTTATGCAAAGAAGAGAAGAAACGTCACTTCCGCCGTCCTACATTGCGCAGATAGGAAGCCTCCGGGTTCTGGGGTTGCGAATGCCAGCCTGGCTCAGTAAAAAATAAGTGCGAACAAACGGCCGCCTGCATATAGGGTTCTCAGAAGGCCGGGGGGACATACCGAGCAGCGCAACTGCTTCTATTGCAACAACCTACGCTGATAGGGCAAGAAAAAAGACTGAAGAGGTGCGCATTTGGGAAGCACCGCCATGGTAACGAACAATCAGGGAAAAACCCTTGTCCTTGAACGCAGCGTGCTGAGCAATGATAAACTACAGGGGGCTGAGATCCATACCTGCAGATTTGCCATGAGCCAACTTTGTGGTTATTCAAGTATGTGTTGGTGCTCGGGCACTGCTAACAGTACTTGCCACAGGCTGCGAAGCGTAGCTGACAGCCTTCGACGCTACGCTTCGCCGATTGCAGAAAGTACTCGGGGTTCGGTTAAAGCATTTGCCTAAAATGAAAAGTCAATTCAAGTATGTGTTATACTACCAGGATACGCGACCTAAACATTTGAGCACTTCACTAGAAGAAGGTCTCTATGTACGCTGTGGGCGGCGTAGAGCAAGGGGTCCATCTGGCCTCCAGATGACACTATTGAGGTCTCTGCGCCTGATTGAAATGCGAGATCACGCCGAGCCTTGCTCCCAACGGCATTTGCATGCTCAAAGCTAAGTCGAAACTGGGCCCAGTTGCCGTTCGAAAGGGACTGCTTTGTAGTTGGATCAGCTAAGGACCATTTCCTCTTGTGATTTATCCCTATGTACATAACAATTTACTTCTATTCTATATGATAAGGCCTCTGATGGTTGCTGCGATGCACCATTGCCTTGCTGCGAGCTACATCTGTGGCCCAGCCACCGTGCAGGCCTACAGTGAGATGCGCTCATCGGCAGCGGCAGCATGTGTAAGCAGCATCAGCATATTCCAGATGCTTTTTTCCATCCACTTATCTTTCCTTCCCGAGCTTCCGAAAGGGAAGCGGGTTTTTCCTACACTGCCTGTGGTAGTACGAACTGTCTAGGGCTCTATGGTTGATGCTAACTTTGCGAACTCAGGGTAGCATATCACAACGATCCTTGTAGAGCAGTGCGCATAATCTCTTGTATTATTTCATCTCACCGCGTTTTAAGAAACGCACCAATGGTCCTGGAACTGGTGTGGATCCCTTGAAATGCAACATACGTTCACGCTCCGTTATCGTATTACGTGTCCGCGCGCAGCGTGTAGCAATCCGAGAGGTGCTGTGTCAGTGGGCCCTCAATGAAAATTTCGTCTGTTTCCGTACCTTAGGGTCCTAGCTGTAGGCCAAAGCGATTATACCTGTAGTACTACACATCAGGAGACAATTATACAACGCGTAGAAGATGAATACGTGCAGGAAGAGGAACACGCCAACAGTTCTGCAGGTTTTGCCCAGTGTGGGAAGTGATATCAGCGGGCGAATGCAACTCGCAGCGGCATCGTCTCAAGTGGTTATGAAACTTCTGCACGGCATGGAGGCCATCACAGAGCAGATACCATCCTCAACATGTAAGCACCTGCCTAGAGAGCAAGCAATGACCAACGTCGAAATCATTCCTATAGTTGAACTGATAATAGGCATATGGATTAAGAAGTGGGTCTCCCGTACATAGCTTCACTGTTCAAAGGTTGAGGAGCATCGGGCTAAGCACTGATCATTGTATCATCGACTGCTCTTCCTCTTTGAGAAGCATGGTAAACGGAGATGGTACTTTTGAATACAAATTAGTGTTCGCTCGCAAACCTCGATAGACTGTTTTTCCATGTAGTCAGTACAAAATTGGATCGCTGCCGGACCACACGAACCTACGAAAAATGTTACAGTACTGTAGAGGTGCAAGTCTGTTGTCTGGGCGTAGAACCACACTCATGCAAGCCACTCTCTGCTATGCACTTCTCTTCATTCAAAATCACCCCGTAGTGCGATCGGCAAGTACAACGTAGTTGGGAATCCACCGACTACATCCTGATACAGTTGGCCTTGAAGGGTGGAGCCTGCATCTGTGGAGTTTTAAAAACAAAAACAAAGTAAGCTGCAAATGTTTGATTTGCTTCTGTACCGGGCATTAGCTTGCTCGTAGACAATCGAAGCTCGTGTGCGACAGTTCTTACGTCAGCACAGTATGGCAATTGGAAGGCCAGCGCAACACAGCGAAGCTTCCGCCATAGCAACTGTTTCAAAATTAAAGTACCAAGTTGCTACTGGATTGGAATTGGGCCATTTGCTGCCCGCTGTACGAAGAAAAGCAGACGGTAAGGGCGCGCCACTGATGGTTCGCCGGATGGCTTGCCGTCGGCGGTGCAGAACAATCGCTATGCTTGACAATGCAGGAATGTTACCTTAGAGGATTTTCAAAATTTCATTTACGCTTTGATATAGGTGCGGATTTGCCTTCAAACGGGCTGTTCATGAGGAAACCAAACGCGAGAGCACATGCGCTTCAGCTAGCCTGCCGCTACCAAAACTGGGTGCTGTCAGAGTCGATGGATTCTTGCACTTGCCCATGTAGAGGCAGCAGTACATTCAAACACCCTTCCTTTTTAATTTTCATCAAGTGTTGTCTGAAAACCTCCTTGGGTCTGTAGTAAGAACTGTCTGTGGCGGTAGGGCTACGTCGAGTTCCTGTTTCTGCACGGGTTCGGACGGCGTCCGACTACTGCGCTGTCGTGGGAAGCGTTCAGTGGAGGCTCCACTCACAGCCCTATATCATTTCTAATATAGTATTCGTAAGTCGATTCAAAATGGAAGCTGTTTCACCCTGTGGTATCACCGACGAGATCCGGGAGGCAGTAGCACCACTGGAGCGCGTCGCCGCCACCAAGGCAGCCGCTGCCGACTCGGAGGCATGCTTAGTAGAGGCAGGACAATCCACTGTTTGCTGCAGCAGCGAAGATGAATACCCCAGTGCAGGCGCTTACCCCAGTGATGATGAACGCCAAGACAGTGATTCACCGACGCAGCAACAACAGCAGCAGCAAACCCCACCGGCTGGACCGAAAGTGACAGTGCCTGAACTGCAGCTTCCCAGACAGCCATCTCAGATGCCTGGGATGCAGACTCCTGCATATACATATACCATAAGCAACCTCGAGGACATCACCGTTGAACAGCCGCCGTCTTCTTGGCTGAAGCCCCGTATCAAAATCGATGGCCCGGAAGTCTTCCACGGTGCGAATCCACTTCCTACCCGTAGAAACAGCATGCACGTGCCGGCTTGAATGCCCCAATTTCATTTTGCATTGGTTGTGCTGCGCTTCGCTGCGTTCCTCCCCAGGGTTGCTGAGGGCTAATGATGAGAATCTGCCCGCTCACGAAACAGTGCCCTCCACAGAGACATTCGTGTCTTTCCAGGGTCAGGTCAGTGCTTGAGGCATCCACACATTCCAACTCTCCCACCAAAACTAGCGCAGTAGTAGAGAAATATGAGAGAGAAGAACAGTTCAACTCTCAGAACAACTCCCTTCGACCAACCAACCATGCAGTACATGCAGCTGACAGCTTCTGACGAAGCTGTTAGTTGAATAAATAGCGATAGGCCGCACAATCTTGGATTGTCCCAAACTTTGGTATGGCTAAGTTTGCATGCGTGTCTGTGTATCTGTTCTGCAGTGGAGAGTGGTGACCTCTGCGGGCACGAGCTCGTACATTGGCTCCACAATGAATCCCTGGGACCCTTCTACTGCTACCTATCCACTGCCTATTACCTACAAAGTTGCAGACGACGCAGTCGTTGTACGCGAAACAGCTGCATCGCCTTCTCGGGCGGACGCCCGTCTTGGCGTCTTCGAGCGGATTCGCCGATTCTTCTGCACCTCCATTGCAGAATACATGCAAAGCTAAGGCCAAAATATGCCCTACATGATAGAGACGCTGAAAGGCTATGAAAGTAGCCTGAAGTCGTAGACGCTGCATCGGAGGGCATCCCCCAGACCTCACAGGCTATACAGACATCACACAGATCAAGCTACTGCCAACGATGTGATATGTTGTCACTGTTTAGCAACAGCAAACTGATCGCCGATTCACACCACTACCACCCCAGTGTGATCTATCAAACCAGGTTTCCTCACTCCTCTGTGGCCCAAAGGGCCAGTCGCGTTCACTTGAATGCGACAAACATTTTTCCGTTGCGCACCTAACGCTATTTGAGCCGCCTTTGCAGCATGTGCAATCTACTGCCGTCCCTGTGGAAACAGGGCATAACGGCGAACTAAATTACTTGCACTAAGCTATTAACCACTACAGCGCACTATCCTTGAGTGCATGCAATGAACACAATCCAAAAAGGCTACATAGCAATTGATGCTGTCTGTCCATTTGAAGGCGGCCCAAACAGCTGGCCAGCACTGCGGCTTTAGCCGATGGGTTGCTGAGGCGGAATCTTAAGACCGCTTGCAATTGCTTGCAAGCAACCACAGAGTGGGATGCGTGCAACGGCACTAGTAAGGCATTTCTTCGCAGCTCAGCTCCTGTTCATGTTCATCTGGCACGCCTTCAGATTGTCCAAGTAGTTCTGGCAAAGCGTGATGTCGGTGTGGCGCGTCATGCACTGCGCAGCAACAAAGGCACATATACACTTGAAAAGTAACAATCCACCAGTAAATCAGCAGTGCCTAAAAGGAGCCAATATGTGCCGCCTCGTACACAATCTCAGTTCCTCTGAAAATGGTATAGGGCCGTTCAGACAGCCAGATTTGCCCACCTGGCTAAGTTCCTCCTGATACGCTGCACAAGGATTTTGCTGAAGGTTCTGTTGCATCATTTGCGGCTGAGCTGCAGTGACGGGTGCTGCGCTGTTCGTGTGAACAACCTCCATAGAACGCGGCCCCATAACGGCGTCAACCGCGCGCTGCGCCACACCGAACCCAACACCCGAAGCCATTCCACTTGCAACATTCCCCACCATGTTGGCCATAAAGCCGCCGCCTCCGCCGCTGCCCCCCGTCATGGGAGGAGGGCTGGGGGGAGCAGCCACAGGCGCAGGTGCAGCAGGATGCGACGAGCGGGAACCGCCAACTGCAGCAGCAGCACACCACACGTGCACAGTTCACAAGCGTTCTAGATGGAATAATGAAGCTGCTACTGCTGGTGCAACTGCAGAAGCATACGATGGCTGTTCTGCGATCTTTTCTAGCAGAAACGCATCATCCTCCCACGCCGTCCAATGCGATGCACCATTTTTAAACCCAAAACACAATAATCAAGAGTAGCAAAACGCTTCTAAACACGACACCGGCATCGCTCGGCTTTCTCAGGGCAAACATGCTCGAAATAAACATGCAAGGCAGACCGGTCGATGGACAGGCGTAGTGTTTCTGCTGCCCAACACTGCACTTCACCCGCCACTCTTAGCTCTGTTTAAAGCAAGCATGAAAGTGGTTAAAAGCAGAAGCACACGATCCACTGCGGAGTTACGGATAAAACAGAACGCACCGCATGCCCCTAGAGAAAGCGAGCAACTTCCCAGGGGCAGACCGGGTCGCGCCCCTCATAGGCATGGTGTCAGACTGCTTTCAAAGTAGACTAAATGGAACGAAACACAGACAAACAAGCATACAAGCTCATAAACGTTGCTGGGAAGCAGGAAGAGCGTCCTGAAACCTACAGAAGCCTCCACCGGAGGAAGATCGGCGCGCGCTGGAACCGCCGCGTTGTCTAGGCATCTTCAAGACAAGAGAATCACTAATAAGCAAAAACTGCAGGAAATTTATTGAGAACTCGGTGGACTGAAAGGCTACGAAGTGTTGTATATGCTACCACATGGCAACGGCCTCCAGAGGCGCGGGGTACAGCAGCCGCGCGGACAGCAGCGGGGAGCCGCGGTGCTTGAACGGTTTCTTATTGAGTCGTTGGCTGCGGCTGCTGCGACTATTCTATAGTTGGAATTATTTAGTTGAAAATAAACTCGTTCTTCGATGTTTTATTCAAACAAAGCACAATAGAGACGAGCTAGTAACTTGCGAGCTTCCGTCCCACCTACACAGCTGCAAACAAGACAGCTGTGCAGGAGTGGCGCTGTTTCTGTTCCCTCCTCCAACAGTTGTTTACCGAATTGACCCCCCTATGGAACTCTGTCTTTTTTTTGAATCAAGCTGCAGGAGGGAAAGGTAGTGAGGGCATCCAGCCCACCTCAGCAACTGACACTGCACAGTTCGGCCATGTGTCTGACAGGATCAGGCGGGACTGCAGCGGTTTCAGGGGGCAATTCAGCAAATTTTGGGTGTACAGGCACCTCAAGGGGCTGCAGGTAACGCGTTAGTTGTGCATAAGCCCACACATCGGGCCTGCTCATTCGTTCAAGGGAGACATGGAAGCTGCGCCGACGAAGTATATACTACGCCTGTGACTACGAGCGCTAGTACGATGCAGACGGTTTAATCCGTTATAAGCTGAATTTTCTGCAACGTTGGCGGCGTACACAGTGAAGCCTTCCTACGCCCTCTTGCTGCTGTTCGCCCTGCTGTTGGAGGCCGGCCGCGGAGTTGTTCTTTGCATTTGCAAAATCCTTTCCCCAATCGATTATAAAGGAGGCCTGTCTAAAGAACGAATCAACTGCTGTCTGCACCCCTGTTGCTCGCCAGGTTCTCACACAAGCATAGTTGTTGGTTGAAAGGCCACGGCAGGCAGGAGTTGTTCCCTAGATCAACAACAGACGCGCGGAGAATGGCTGGTAACTTCACCGATTTCGGCGATCTTGTTCTCATAATAGGGGACTTTCACGTCCCCCAGAGGGCTGTAGATCTGCCTCCGTGCTTCAAAGAGCTGCTGCACACAGACAAAATACGCCATGTCCTCTGCACGGGTAATGTGGGCAGCGAGTCGATTCTAGAGTTCCTTAGAGGAATCGCTGGTTCTGTACACATTGTTAAAGGAGATATGGATGAGGGCATGGACTTCCCAGAGTATAAAATACTGCAGTTCGGTGCGTCATAATGCCCTCGTAGCACCTGCCTGTACACTATACACTTCGCCGAGAGGTTGTTTGAGCTGCAAAAACCCATATTGCAAGCAACACCTCAATAGCTGGCACTGAGAGATAGAAGCTGTCTTCGATTTCATCCCAGTTGATGACAGAGGGACCGACAAAATGCGCATATTTCAGTTTGTGTTTCTGTGCGGAGTGCAGGGGAATTCAAGGTCGCGCTGCTGCACGGGCATCAAGTTGTGCCTTGGGGGGACCCGGACGCCTTATTGCAGTGGCAGCGACGGCTTGACTGCGACATAGTGGTGTCTGGACACACACACAGCAACTCAGTGCGAGAGGTGGAGGGCCGTTTCTTCATTAACCCTGGTTCTGCAACGGGGGCTTACCAGCCTTGGGCTCCTTCCCCAACTCCTAGCTTCATGTTGATGGCACTGCAGGGCGCGTCAGTGGTGTTGTACATCTACGAAGAAAGAGAAGGAAAAGCAGAAGTCGTTATGAGCGAGTTCTCGAAACCGGCCAAGAAATAACGGCGGCAGCTAGCCCCTTCAGGGCATCATAGAATACACCTTTGAAACGCTTTTATTGCCAGAATACTCCGCAATTCGTTTTCTGTTTTCGTCTTCTTGGATTATCCTCAGCTGTCTATTTTCATCAAAAAGCGTAGTTTGGCAGAGCTTGCGTTGCATGCGGAAGACGAATGCTATTTTCTTGCAGCTCACCGCTTCGTGCTAATCCACAACTGCCTTCAGGGGTGTTCAGGGTTTAGGATTCAGTGAAGTTGTCATGGTTACTGCTTTTTTCTACTTTATATCTCGCAACAGAAACTCCTGCATGCATTTCACTATGCAGAAAGGAACACGTAGTTTCCCACCCCCAGTTCTTCTGTTTAACCGTCCTAGCAACATTTTGGCTTGTATTCCGTGTGCCTCTCAAATAACCGCATTTACAAGGGCAAGCGAAGCTCACAATGTCTCACGCCCTCGCAGCGGCAGACGTAAACGTTAGAACCTGAGCTATGAACAATCGTTCTACTTGTTCTGCGGAAGACATGAAGGCAACAATAGGCATCTCTCCCGTCCCAACCCATCCGGCCCTTCCGCACGGTCACACATTGCTGCAGCGGTTTCTTCGCAAGTGTCTTTGTGGCGTTTACCATGCGGGTATGAAAATGAAATAGAGAAACAGTTGGTGGTGAAGGCAGCAGTGAAACTGCGCAGCAGACACGAGCATTGCAAAACAAAATGCGGGGAGAACCTGTACAAATGAATAAATCAATACTTTTGGAGAAACCTGGTACTTAGTGAAGCGGGAAATGCTCCAGTTTGTCGTGGTTTCCGTGAGGCCTTTCTGATCGGCCTATGCTGAACCACCAATGACAATATAGAACTGCAAAATGCATCTTATGCGTACTGTCTTGCAGATACGAAGTGCTCACTCTTTTCCACAGGAGTCATTTGCTTTGTGTTCAGTATCTAGAAGAGCAGCAGCTGCATGCAGCCTCTTTTGAATGTCATGCGATTTAGGTAAACGCACGATTCGCTGTACAATTCCCCCCCTGCTTATTGATAAAATGATTGAAATCCTCATGCATGATCTGTAGTAGGACCCTTTCAGCCCCCAACTTCTCCCTTGCAGGTGTCAGTTAGCTCGACCTAATTCATGCAGTATTTTAATGCACTTCCGTTGGAGACGGAGTGCTAAGCTGTATTAGAGTGCTACAGCAGTGCACAAGCGAACCATTTCTGCAGCTCTAACGGCCCCCTCTGCCATTTTCGGGATCTTCCACAGGCAGAAAAAGGCAGCAGCTCCTTCTCGTGCGCCTCTCTAAAGGCGGCCACCTACTGTGTTGCACTTCCGATGGCCGTAGCCTAAGCCCGTAGGGCGACAAATATACATATATATATATATATATACATATATATATATACCACTCCTTTGCTCCTGAAGGCAGACCCTTAGATATATGCATCTAGAGATAAGCCTTAACTGCTATATATATTGGGTTGACCGCGGGTAAGAGAGTTACAAGTAAAATAATTACAGTGGTAATTGGTAATTATACTATCAGCAAGCCACTCTGAACAACATGGGTGTTTAATAAGAGTGCCTCCCTGTCTCTCCAATAATAATATTATTATTGCAGTATCTTATTGTTATACTGTGGTTTAGCTTTACTGTGTATATTGTGTCTAATGCTACCCCGTCGTGCTGCTTGGTTGCCTTTCGCTGTTTACGTTGTAAACGTTTCAGAGAAGCAGGAAGAACAGAACGAGCAAGTTCAGCAGGGGAATATCAAAAAGCAACGAAGACACAACGAGATACTCGAGACGAAAACACCCAAAGTGCTGAATGAGTTGCATCTGAGCGGCGTTCTGTATGGTAGGACTTCAACAGCAAACACAGGGGTGGCAAGACACCCGAGCGAAACGACGCATCCATGGGAGAAAAGGCTTTCACTCTAAAGAAAGTCATTTTATGGGAGCACAAGCAGTAATGACGCATATTCCCTTATTAAATAAGCAGAAGCATCATCAATAACCAAGATGATGGGCCGCTTGTGTAGTAGTGCGCGATACTGTTTACCCACCAGGGACTGTCATATAAGAGGCATTACCGTTGCTTTTATGCTTAATTTAAAAAAGGTTTTCACGGTAAATTAAACGCAAGAACAACGCCCCATCACAGATGAGGGTTTTGCTGGGGAGGGCGTTGCATGCGAGCTGATCTGCGCAAGCGGCATTAGGCGTAATGATGCATATTGGTGCGTAAGCGGTTGAGCTGTGTGGGAAATTGTTTGCATTTGTTTCATTTAGTTTAAATTAAACAATAAAAGTAGTGTTTTATAATGCAAAATATATTTATCTATCTGATTATCACGCGAAGAAAACGCAATACGAAGCACAGCGCCTTGAGATGCGCTGCTGAAGGTACAGCCACCGCTGCTGAGCTGCTGGGTGGGGGGCGCAGTGCTGCCCTCGTGTTAAAAACAAGAAATGATACGTGAGTTTACGGTCTTGTAGAACGTTTCTCTTGTCGTTTTGTTTCTAATTTTCAGATAGTTGTTCTCTTTTATGCTTGTAATGCCGACCTGCATGCTGATGGGCAGGGCAAGAAGCTCCCGCGTACCGCCAGCATTACAGCTCTTAATTCGGAGGAGTATCCCTCCTTTTCCTCTTCTCCGAATGAACGAGCATTCGCAATCTTGTCGTATTAATCCCTTAGATGTCGTCTACAGATGACAGGGGGCCCCTTAGCCTCTGCTACAGCCTCCTTCCTTCCCGTGCATTTGTTTACCCTTCGCAACAGAGCAAACCAACCAACAACACCCACACGCCACAGCGGCCCGCTCTCTTCTTTCTTTTTCCTTCTGTTTTCAGCAGTTGCAGCATTATTACCGCTGCTTCGCCTTTGTAATTCAATCTATCAAAGCGAGCGAAGATGCAGTACGTAAACATCCCTCGCGACAAGGAGGACCCCAACTACCGTTATAAGATGCCTAAGTTGCTTTCGAAGATCGAAGGCAGAGGAAATGGCATCCGTACGAACGTGTACAACATGGGAGAGATAGCAAGGGCCCTCAAGAGGCCCCCCATGTACCCAACTAAATTCTTCGGTTGCGAGTTGGGCGCGATGGTAAAGTTCGAGGAGAACGAAGAGAAAGCCCTCATTAACGGGGCGCACAGCGAACAGGACCTTGTTGCTATTCTAGATAAGTAAGCCAGCTCTCTTGCTCATGTATGCATGCATGCGTGTATGCATGCATGCGTGTATGCATGCATGCGTCCGTGCATGCATGCATGCATGCATGCATGCACGCTTAAATATGCATGCATGCTTGCCTGCATGCGGGATGAGGGTCTTCACAAAGAATATCAACAGCTAACAGTTAGCCTCGGTGTATAAGAAGCCCCGAGCAGCTATTTGTTGTTGTTTATGGAGGTGTTTCTGGAGATGGCGGCATTCAATATTTTCTCTTCTTTCGAGTTTGTACCGCCAGACATTGAAGCTGCACTGAGCTCAGTGTGCTGCATAATTGTGAGTTTACTTTGTAGACAATACAAAGACAAATACATTGTCTCTGTATTTGTTCTGCAGGTTTATTCAAATGTACGTCCTGTGTGGGGGCTGCGAACTACCTGAGATCGATATAACTGTGAAGAAAGGCGTCTTGTTCTGCAAATGCAATGCATGCGGGTACTCGGGAACTTTAGACAATACGCACAAGGCGGCGACATACATGGCGAAGAATCCACCGAATGCAACGGATACTACATTAGGTAAAAAGAAGAAGACAAAGGAGGAGCGCAGAGCAGAAAAACTCGCGAGCAAAGATGAAGAAAAAGCAGAGAAACCTGCAAAAGAAAAGAAATCCAAAGATAAAGACAAAAAGAAAAGAAAAGACGGTGAAGAAAATGAATGCGAGAGCGCTAACAACAAAAGCTTAGACCAATCAGGAGACGCAACCCCAACGAATGAAGGTAAACAAGAAGAGAAACAACAAACTAATGGATTATTATTCTAAATAGGCACTGTACTACTGAACCCTGAACCCTCAACACTAACTTCCTTGTACAGCGTATTTTTAAAGAAGAAATGCAAATAAGAGGGAGGACGACGAGTACTGACATCGCCTAAACATCGTCAGTACCTGCATACGTTTTGTAAATTTTTTGTTTATGTGTTTTGAATATCGATTGGGTGTCTTCAGGAGAAGATAGCTGGGATGAGGAGAAGGGGTCTGAAGGGGGAAAGAAAGAGAAGAGCGAGAAGAAGAAGAAGGAGAAGAAGCAGTCGGGTAGCGTTAGTGAAGGCCCCAAGTTGGTTGTTAAAGAGGCTCTTACTATCCGCTGCCCAGAGATAGCTGAAGTATCAAACCGTCTTCGTAATATGTTCATCACTACTCCTTCCGTCACGCCTGACGCTTTCTTCGTTGAACTCAGAATGCTGCAGGTCTCTCAAGACTTTGATGCAAAAGTACGAAGAATGCATGCATATATGCATGCATTCATTTATGCATGCATGCAGTAGCGCAGACGTACCACGTTAGAGGCACAGTGCGTGCTCGCATGTTACTGTTTTTTGTTATTGTTATGGATGCAAAGACATGCAAGAAAGACAATTCCTTTGTTGATGCCTCCTACTGGCTGGCTTACGATTCTGGCTTCGTTTTCTGTGTTGAAGTGAAGAGTAGTACGAATTCTGTTTGGTTATCTTCTTTATTTGTTCGTTTGTTTTGTTTGTATTGTTTGTTTGTCTTGTTTGTACTGTTTGTTTGTCTTGTTTGTCTTGTGTTTACTCTTTGTTCTGTTGTTTGTCTTGTTTGTTTCTTTGG